CCCCCACCCCGCCCCTTCCGGTCCGCTCCCAGATCAACCATCTCAATCCCAACCAGATCACACCAGATCACATTCACAGCGTCCTCACCAGATTGTCCGTCAGCTCAGCAACCACCTCCTCCAGATCACCGCTCCTCAGCCCACTCGCAATCCCCGGCTCCAATGCGCACTGCACCCCCATCACATCCGGCGCCCCCGACGCCCGCCGCGCCCCCAACACCTGCCGCGGCCCCGGCGCCTGCTGCTCCCCCTTGCAAAGACCGCCGCCCTCCGCATTGGGCGCCGCCACGCGCCCGTCGCCGCAGCTGCCGCCAGCTGTCACGCCCTCCAGGTGCGCCTGCAGCGCGGCCAGGCGGGCCCGCAGCGCGGCGCGCTCGTCCCGCAGGCGGCAGAGCGCTCCCTCGAACACGCGCCAGGCGGCCAGCACGCGCGCCGTCTGGTCGGGGCTGCGGGGCCGGGATGGGCGGGCGCGGGGGCAGGGCGGGCAACAGGTGATGAAGGGACAGGGGGGCAAGGCGGCTTGCGGGAGCATCGTCGGATTTTGCGTCTCGGCGCGTCGCGACGGCGAGCGGCCGACGCGCCGTGGTGTCCTAATTGACACGGTCCCCCGGGCGCTGCCACCGGGCCCGCCAGCGATATGTGCCCGCGGAGCAAAGCGCGGGGGCGTGCGCTCACGTGAGCGCCATGCGCGCCGCGACGCGCGCGTGCATCCCCGGGTCGTGCGCCGCCCGCCGCCGCGCCTCCAGATCCATCGTCTGGCACTCGTACTTCTCATCATCCGCCATGCGAAACGCGGCCTCTATCAGCCCCCTGCACTCGCCCCCGCGCGGGTCCGCCTCCGCCAGCGGCGCCACGGCGCCGTCGGGCAGCAAGCGCCCCCCGCGCGCACGAGACACAAACGCGGCGTAACGCTGCACAAACCCCACCACCCGCGCCGCGCGTGCGGCGGCCGCTGCCGCGTTACGCCGCGCTGCTGCCGCCCGGCTGGCTCAGGTCATCCCTGAGCCGCTGCATCCGCTGCCCGTTCTCGTCTATTGCCCGCTGCAGCGCCGACTGCCAGAAGTGGAGGGCCTCGTTTTCTGCCAGCAGATGTGCCAGAACCGCCAGCTTTGACCGCACCTCTGACTCGAGGCCTTCCAGCTTTTTTTGTATACATGAGCGGTGTTCAAAGAGGTACGAGAGGGGTTTACATGGATGCATGTGTGCATGTGGGCGTGCGTGCATGTATGCGGGTGTCGGTCTGGTGCGCATGGGGCTGTCCTGGGCGTCACGGACAGGCTGCCATGACTGAAGTGTGCGTGCGGCTGCTCGCGGCAGCGGACGGGCAGACGGGCGGCGGGGCGCGCCTGTTGTTGGGGGCAGGTTCAGGGGCGCACGCACCATGCTTCTCTTGCGTGCCCGATACTGCCGCACCGCTTCGTACCGCCGGTTCACCACCAGGCCTAGGACTGGCTTGCGGCCGCGCCGCCGCGGCGTCGTGGCCGCCGTGGCCGCGGCCTGCGCCCGCGCCTGTGCTGGCAGCGTTCGCTCAGCCTGCCCTGCTGCTTGCTGCAGCCACGCCCCGAGGCGCATCGCAGCGGCCGGCGGCACGGGCGCCGTCGCGGCAGCTGTCCCCTGCACGCCGCTTGCGATGGCGCCGCTGTTCGCCGCCACGGGCGGGGTGTACCCGCCAACAACTGACTTTAAGGTGTTGCTGTCTGCATCATCAGACGCAGCTGCTGTGAGCGCGCCTGTCGCTACCAGGTCCGGAGCGGCACTCGGGCGCCGCGTGAACGGCGCGCGGCACCCGCCCCACCACGATGCTGATTGCACGGCAGCATCCATGCCAGTGCCTGAGAGGAGCTGTTTCTTATAGCCTTAATTTCGGCTACGGTATGCAGAGTGCTAAGTGACTCCCGGTCGTGCTTGCGTGACTCGGAAGGAAGTTGCGGAACACACCACTGGTTAAACACGTGGCACTCTTGAAGATGTATACGGTATCTATGATTGCTTAGATGTTTGGCGTTTACAGTCGGGTGACTTTCGGATCGCAGTCACTCGAATGTGGCGGAACACACGCAGAGCCACGTGTAGATCGATGCAGACACAAACGAACGGCCATTGTCAAAACACGGAATGAAATTGGTGATGATGAGCTTGTGGCAATCGACCCTGCCTCTGACTGCACGCTCGGGGGTGAGAAATCCTGTGTGCTGGGTGTGCTTTGGATGGGAGGTGATGTCCTTCGCGGCTGCCCAGACGGCCACGTACATTACAGTGGTCCAGCCCACTCGGTGTGGTCATATGCAATATGCAAGTGTCGCCTGCAGTGTGCGCGTTGGCATTTTGGATCGGTGGCAACATTAAAGGCGGGCGAGAGTCCTGGGGGTTGCAGAGTGCCACCTGGGGAGCAGACGCAAGCAGCATCGGATGCTGTTGAGTGTGTGTGTGTGTGTGTGTGTGTGTGTGTGTGTGTGTGTGTGTGTGCGCGCGCGCGCGTGCGTGCGCACGCATGCTATTGCACGCGTTCGTTCGTGCGTGCGTGCGTGCGTGCGTGCGTGCGTGCGTGTGCGTGTTCGTGCGTGCGCACGCAAGCTACTTGGTACGCACAGCACGAGCAGGAACCGTGCGGGACTTCGCTATTGCCTCGTGCAAGTCGCTTCAAAAGCATGGGTTGGATTCCTTGCAGAATTCCAACCGTGTCCTTTGTTTTTTTGACCAATGCAAGCGCATGCTTCTAGACGTGGCATTCGGTGCGGCTTCATCATTGGCAGGGCCTGCCGCCCATGTGCACTTACAAGTCCATAGTGCTGCCTGCCTTGCTGTTCTTGGACTGCAGCAGCACCTGCGTCAGGTCACCATTCCCCGCTGCAAGGATACGAATTTCAACGCCTGCAAGCCCGCTCGCTCCTCAGGCAATACTGTTGTTGATGCACTATAGCCGAACTGCTATGCAGTCGTGCATCCACATCAACCAGTCAAGTACGAACAGAAGTTGCTTAGATGTCACACCGAAGCGCCGAAACAACGGCTGCAGTCAATGTGCGCTGCACGGCCAGACTCGGCAGCTGCCTCCTGAGCGACTGACGATGTGCGGCCAGAGTTGGCCATATCCCGGCGCTTGCCACGATGCAACCAGAGCGCATTTTGCCGCGTTAGTGCGGCCTCCTGAAAATGCTATCGCTGCTCTTATTCGTGCTGCTGCAGTGGGCCGCGGCAACCAGTGCAGTGCTCTGCCCGGACCCCGTCAACGTCGAGCCCATCTCCAAGTTCTGCCAGGACTTGACCAAAGTCTGCGTGGATCAGGGAGACTATGTGCTGTATGAGAACAAGCACAACCCGCGGCACACGGCGTTCACCGGTATCCCCCAGATCAAATTGGATAGCGTGCATGTGGATTACTACGGCTTCGGAGATGTGTGGGGCACAGAGTTCTTGTATCCACACCCATTGCTGCGTCCGGCCACCGGCGGGGAGGAGACGAAGGAGCTGCAGGAGCCGCAGTTCAGCCGATGGTGAGTGCGCGCGGCGGCACCGGTGCACACGCGCGCAACCGACGTTTTGGGCGCGCCACATGCCGGCGCCCGCCGCCGTCCCGCGCGCATGGACGCCTTGCAGTGCCATCGGGCCCGCCGGTCGCTGTTGCATGGCAGGAGAAAAGCCGCGCCGCGGGCAGCGGGACACCATCTCAGCCCATCGCCGTACCCGCTGCTCGCTCCTCTGCTCCTCCCTCCCGTCATCCCTGCAGCACCCTGCCGCTGATTATATATCCAAACTATTTGTATGTCTACGGAGAGTTCTTCATGCGGACGGTGGCGACGCTGTATGCCATGCAGGCCAAGGGCTGGATTGATAAGCGGTGCGTCGGTTGTTGGTTGGCAACCGGCGGCCGCGCCCGGGCTGCTGGACTGCCGTAGCGGCGGCAGCGGCCCTGCGGCGCGCGGCAAGCACA